CTGTCGCCGTCTGCGACCCGGCCTCCGGGTGTGAAGGGGACGCCTTCGTTTCTCTCAGCAGGTGCCCCGCGTGATCGGCGGGGACGCATCGCGCAGAAACACGACAGGCGGGACAGCGATGCGCAGAAGAACGTTGAGGAACGGGAGGAGGAGGACGACGGTGAGGGGACGGCAGAGCAACTGCACGAAGACGACGGTGGAGAGACACCGCGCATGGCGGCGCGGTTTATGCATCTCCATCACTTGCGGGATCGGGACCAGGAGTTTCTTGATTCCCTGCGGTCCGTTTTGGAATTCACATCGTAGCTGCAGACTAACAATTTTTTGTCCTGTAGGAGTCCGGACCCGGAACACACGGGAGGAGGATGGGGCCTGGGCGGTGGGAACGAGGAGAAGGCGGAAGACGAAGACGAGGAGGACAATATGGACTGGGACCAGGCACAGGTGAGTAGGCTCCGATCTTATGGTCGGCGTAGCTCAGATTGATTCGCTCCAGGCGGTGGTGGAGCGAATGGTTGGTATGAACGCGCCTCAGGACGCTAGGAGACGAGGGTAATGCCTCGTCACGGTGACGATAAGTTTGTGACTGTGATATCGATCATGGAGAAGTGGCATGTCGGGTGTCTGAAGTGGGGTTTATCAGATAAACACAGCCCAGGCAGAGGAAAATGGAAACAGATCCAGACAATGATTTGTTCAGCTCTCGCGTCTGCGCGTTTGATGAATCGCGATATCGACATCAGCAGCGGCCCGGCCAGTCGGGGCATTTAGGCTGTTGTTAGACGTGCAGACTCGTCGCTCGGGCCACGACATCAGAAGTCTCAATACCGTGAAACAACTTGGTCGAACCGGAATTTGATGTGAAGTCCGGCCCCCACAAGTTGGGGCCGTTGGGCCGTTACCTCGCAGTCGCAGCGAAGATCAGGTTGTTCAATGTACGTGGACAGTCAAAGGGGGCTTGCGAGGTAAGCCAGTCTCTGAGCTATATGTGCCACAGAGAGAGCCGTGCGTCGAGACCGATTAGCGTGGACACGACGGGAATGCAGCGTTCGTGCCTACGCGAGTCTCATATCCGTTCCCGACCTTTTTCAGAACGATGTGAACACGTGGTACGCTCGGGATCTCGAGTTGCCGATGCTATCACGCTTTTGCGCACGAATAATCCATCTTAGTCCAGTAGCTCCCCAGCGTGAATGGTGACTAGTTCAAGCCGTTATCCACAAAGCATGTCGAAGGAGAGACTGCAATGCACAAACGCACACTTACAAGCACTCCGCTGGGTTTGAGGTTGCGGGAACTGTTGTTGATGCGCAGGGCGCACGCCGTCCTATCGTTCGAATCGGAATATTGACCAAGACATCCGCGGATCCCATCTCCATCCAATAGAATGCGCGAAACGGCTAGGGAGAGCGGACACACATTCCTCCGGCGTGATGAACTAGCTCTGCAGACGTTTCAAGCAGCTATAGGTGCCTTGTGGGCGATCTGCCACTACGGGCGTCATTTAAATCTTTGTCTATGCTCTGTTATACATATCGCAATGGTACGTCCCAATTTTGTTCCCCACCTGCTTGCTATGGGCGATTGACCTCACAGCTCGTGGTCAGGTGTCGCAATTTTTGCCGATTGAGTTCATCATCATTGGTGGGGGAGTCGCCGGCCTCACCGCAGCATGCGCGCTCAGCAAAGTGGGACATCGGGTGACTGTGCTGGAGCAGGGCGACGATTTCATGCAGGTCTGTGCTCCGCCGCATCGCCAAGAGATCGCGCTCATCCAATGGACAACGTAGACGGAGTTTTCGGGCGGTTGTAGGCTGGCCCCAAACATGACAAAAAAGTACTATGACTGGGGGCTCGAAGAGGAATTTAGAAAAATAAGCATGACGGGCCATTACATTACGCTTGCTTACTGTGAGTCGTCTAATCTTGCGATACTCTTGTATACGCTGATGTCAGACGGAGCGCCTTCCATTTAGATGATTCGGGCAATGTGTCCATCGCAGCGGAATGGGGTCGCGATTATTTTGCGGTCGATAGAGTGGGAGAATACGTGCAGATGCATGTAAGTGGTCTTCAAAGCATGGCTCGATACTAGGTCAATTGATTGCTTGACAGTTTGCGGACTTCCGGCGAGTATTATACGAGTCGGCGCTCAAGTTCGGGGCTACCATCCGCTCGAAAACTGTTGTGAAAGCGCTTTCACCTACGTCCAATCGACCATCCGTGACGCTGGATACTGGAGAGGAGATCTTCGCGGACGTTCTTGTTGGCGCAGACGGGAGCCATTCAATATCTCGAGCAACTATGATTGGGGGTGCGGATGAAATGACCAGGAAGAATCTGGCGTTGTTCAAGTGCGTGCACATATTTTGTTTCAATGCCAAGCCGATCAAACCCTCTGAATTCTGGCATCAGTGCCGAGATTCCGAGAGAGAAGTTGGCTGCGGACCCAGATGTAGCACAATTTCTGACAGAGAATGTGAGACCGTGCGCTTCCGTCTTAGCATGCTCTACTGATATGCCACCAGCAGTACGGTCAGCTGATCCTGTGGATGGGCGATGGCAAAGGAGCAATAGGGTTTTGTACAGTGCGTCCGTCTACAATCCTACGAGTGAGATCCCTGACGTCAAGGCATAGGCGAGAGAGGAGTTTACTATACAAGCATTTCTACCGGATCCTAAGGGCATGCCATTTCCTTGTTCCGCGGTGGACAAAAGTACACTGCTCGAGGCGATGCAAGGATGCGAACCACGGTACGTCTTCCATGATTTCGGCGGTTGGGTCTCCTCATTGCTGTAGTGAAGACTATACAAGCTCGCACAAATGTCAGATAGAGCACTAGTAACACCGATCGTAGAAAGGCCACATCTAGAAGACTGGGTGCACGAGAACGGTAGGATGTTGGTGATCGGAGAAGCTGCGCATCCTTTGACGGTTGGTGCCTTCCGTATATCTGTCTGCCTACAGCGTCTGATAGTTTCCATACAGACAGGGTCTGTCTATGCTCCAGGATTGGCGGCTGGAGATGCCATGATGCTGGGTAGATTATTCTCGCACTTGCGCAGTCACGAACAAATTACGCCCTTCTTATTCGCCGTCGAAGAGGTTCGACAAAAGCGTATTGCACGCGCGCTGAAAGTGCAGATGGTCAACCCCGCGGTCCTGTCCCTTCCGGCGGGCGTTGAGCACAAGGAGTCTCTCAAGGTGGCAGAAAATATTACCGACCTTTCTCCTGTCGAACTCAACGAGCTCCTCGAAGAGGTACGTGTTAAATGCTCGCTTCGCTGCTCACTTAATGCGAAACGTTCGCTGCCCAGGCTCTGACAATTGTCTTCACGTACGATCCGGAAGACGAAGCTGATGATTGGTGGATGCAGTGGGGTATGCTACGTGAGCGTGCAGGTAGCGCGGCTCAAATGTCGTTCAGCTCCATCCCATTCGTCCAGGAAGACGTACAGACCACAAGTGACTAGTACTTACTACCACGATCACGACCGTGCTTCATGCACCAGCGACTGCCGATTTGGAGGCGCTATTGCCTGGCTATACCCTGTAATTTTTTTCTTTCATGCACTTTTCAGACGGCTTCACAAAATCGCAGCAGCGCGCCTGGGCGCGAATTTATGTACGTAGAGACCTATGTTATCATGTAGAATTGGATCCGCTACTCATAGACGAAGAGTTTCACGCACCCGTTTACTGACTTTCGTGTGTACTTCATATCTCCAAAAGGTTGAACGGTGAAAATGCGCCCAGAAGCCCTTGGCTAATATTGAGCGCCATACTCGCTAATGCGGGACAAAAGCATGGATGAGGTCGGGTTCAAATTAGAGAGGAGCATGAGAATGAGAAGTTGAAAGCTTACAGACAGTCATACCTTTTTTTTGGTCCCTTTATTGTCCGCGAAGGCCTAGCCCTATGTAGACAGTAAGTACAACATGTGTAGACAAACGAGCGCGCAGGCTTTAGTCGAAACGTAGACATTGGGGACACAACCCGTCCGAATGAAGGGGTGTCTGGGCGTCGCTGGAGTACTGCGAGTGGCCAAGAGGAATGGAGAAGGGGAGCGGAACGATATACACAGGGGAAAGTGAAGTAAGGCTGTACTGGGACTGGTGCGGCGAACCTGCAGGTGTGTGCCCTGGCCAATGAAGGCGAGGGACGCGGTTCTAAACCCTCCGCTAGAGGGAATGTCACCTCTACAAGACAGAGTCACAGCTGGGGAGGATCCGGCCAGTGGTCCCCCACTGGCCTACAGTCATACTTGTTACGTAGCTATGATCGTCTTACAGGAAACGATAAGCTCATCTACGAGACGAATCTGAGTGGCGAGACTCGCGGGTTGCAAGGTCGATCCGAGACACCTGCATCAGACTGGAATCCAAATTATCAACGACATGCCATAAAGTTGCGCTACAAAGGTGCTCGCTCACCTATGTATTGGATAGCATACAAAACGTACGCGGCAACGCGAAGACACGATTCGGACATGGTGAAGTCATCCATGTATCAATGGGTCGGCCTGGTGTTCTCATTGAGAGGTCCCACTAACCAAAATATTAGCACAATGAAACGATGTATCAATCTGTCGTCAGTGTTCGAGAGTTGCTCAATGCGTATCGTCATGCCGAAGTACAATTATTGGGGAACATAGATGCTGACTGTCATCGGCGACTAGCCTCATAATACTTTTGGTTGGGACGACATGTATGCGAGCCGCATTGACTTTGCATATGTTCAATGCCTCAACGAGGAAAAGCAGATGCTAGTACATTTGGGCTTTCCGTTCGTTAAGTCAGTTGGAATACCCGGAGTCTCTACAGTTGATAATGGCGCACCTCTCGTACGTATGTGCTCTTCTATGTGATGTTCACGCAGGCATATCCACCAATACAATATCGCGGCTCAACTTGATTAGTACGCCCACAGGATGTGATAGTCGCTCATGAGATACACGGGGAGATGACTACCGAGAGTGAAGGCGAGTAAGCCCTTAAATACGGGGTACTAGCTGGCAATTCGGAAGTTGGACGGCCTAGACTGGCTGCGATTGCGCAACACACATTTCAAAGCCGAAACGCCAAGAAACGTACCCGCGAACTATGGCTCCGGGGATAAAGGAAACAGCTTCTTGTTCGCATGCAATGTAGTCTAATTCGATTTTAATGCAGGCACTATCATCTTTTGAGACCCGTCGGCTTCACTCGGCCATTGCTCGGCATAGCTCCGGCAATCACGTAAGTGCTCCTCGAGGTTTTAAAGTTGAGCCGGTCTTTCCTCATTCTATAGGTCTCTATTCTGAGGTCTGCTCATGAGAGACAACGTGCAATCTAGTGTCGGTTTATTAAACCACTGCGGATAGCGTACAGGCAGAACGAACATGAAGATGAAAAGATGCTTGGTACTTACCATAACCCTTAGGCACCATCTCGCCGAAATTGATATTCTTCTAGGTTCACGCCGGGTTCGTGGTTTTGGATTTGGAGAACGGAAGCACAAAATCCCGGCAATATAGCCACTTTGAGGCTACCTCGTGTACAGTACTTTTCTGCTCTCTGATGTAAGTTGCTCTGATGCTGCGATGGTTTACAAATCGCCGAGTCTTCTCGGACGGTGGACGGAAGATACACCACAATGGACCTGTATTATATCCGCTACAACTGCAATCAGCTGACTTGGCATATGATGTCGGGGGAGGGGCACGAATCGAGAAAGGCTCAGGAAGCGACCGGCACGCATCTGGAGCACTGAGCTCACACAAGCGCATCAACATTGAGCTCCTCTGCCAATCGCTGTTGCGAATGCTACCGGCGTCGCTGTGTCACTGTTGGATGGAACTATTTTCGGCGGTGTGACTTCAGGCTAGCTGAACTGTTTCAACCAGTCGGCGAGGCTCCTCTCGGTGCTTTCATCATTTATAATTGTCGTCGACATTCTAGCCTCATCGCGGCTGCACTACGAGCAACATGCGGCATCTCTATAACTCGTCTTAGTAATGTCGCTACCTCACATGTCGCAATGGTATGCTCAATCTCCTCCTAACGATATCCTATAGCCAAACTGACTCTGAGAATCATGACCGAGCAGACTTCTCCGATTTTGTCGATTGAATTCATCATTGTCGGCGGAGGGATCGCAGGCCTCTCCGCTGCTTGTGCACTCAGCAAAGTAGGACACAAAGTGACGGTATTGGACCAAGGAGATGACTTTTTAAACGTACGTGGATTGTCACGCCTTTGGGGATCGTTTCCTAGAATGTTTTCTGGTCATGTTTCGCAGACGGAATACGGGGGTGGCTGCAGACTAGCTCCAAATATGACAAAAAAGTTCTACGAATGGGGACTGGAAGAAGAGCTAAGAAAATACAGCATAGTGGGACAATACCTCACACTCGCTCGCTGTGAGTTGACTATTCTGCCTGTACGCTTGTATAGGCTGATATTGGATTGAGCACCTCTCGTCAGACGAAACTGGTGAGGTGGCTTCTTCTGGGGAATGGGGAGAGAAATTTGAATTGGATCGGGCTGGCGAATACATTCAGCTGCGAGTGAGTGTTCAATAGACGATGGAGGAAAAAGAGGGGATTAATGTCGTGTGCTAGTTTTCTGCACTCCGCAGACTTCTTTATGAAGCGGCCCTCAGGTTTGGGGCCACCGTTCGGCCAAATTCGGTAGTGAAAACATTGCATCCGGAACCCAATAGACCCTCTGTCATACTTGAATCTGGCGAAGAGCTATCTGCCGACGTTCTGGTCGGTGCGGACGGGAACCATTCGATATCGCGCCAAACAATGCTAGGGTGCAAAGAAGCTTTGATCAGGAAAAGTATGGTGATGTACGAGTGCGTAATTTAGGTCTGTTCAACATGACAATGACTGACGTGATTTAAAACACTCAAACAGCGCTACAATTCCCAGAGATAAAATGGCAGCGGACCCAGACTTGGATGCTCTTCTTACAAACAACGTACGACTATCTGAATACAACACATGCGATACTGATACGTCCTCAGCAATACGGTAAATTGATGCTTTGGCACGGTGATGGGCGAGGGGCATCAGGATATGAGATCGTATGTTGTTCTTCAAACATTCAGAATCCTTTTTTCATTGGCGAGAGATCCACAGACGAAGAATGCATATTGCATGCAAGTGTATGCTCCTGGGAGCAGCGAGATGCCCTTTCCTGTGTCTGTTTTGAGCAGTGAAGAACTGGTAGAAGTTTTGGGGGAGTGCGATCTGCGGTATGGCTTCACCTCGTGCCATCTGCTGTTTTCTTTGACGCAATTCACACATTTCAGGCTGCGCAAACTGGCTGCGTTGGCTAACAACGTGTTGGCAATTCCCGTCATCCGGCAGCCGCAACTCACAGACTGGGTCCACCCCAATGGCAAATTCATTGCGATCGGCGAGGCGGCGCACCCGCTTATTGTGAGTCTATACATCTTCATTGCGCGATTTCCCTGACCTAAGTTCACTTCTACCCAGACAGGGACCGTTTACACGGCAGGTCTGGCGGCTGAGGATGGGATCATGCTTGGGAAAATGTTTTCCTATCTGCGGTACTACAACCAAATCACACCTTTCCTCTCTGCAGTGGAGGACGTTAGACAGAAACGGGTCGCCGATGCGCTCGAGGCACAGAGCGTTAATCCAACAGACGCATCAATGCCCGCAGGCATCGACGCCCAGGAGTCCCTTAAGGTGATGGAGAGCATCGCGGATGGGACGCTCAGCCTCGACGAAGTCAACGACCTCTTACATCAGGTGTGTTACTTGCTGCAATTCGCGGTGCAGCTCTGATTGTACGTTGTGGAATAGGCGTTGGGAGTTATATTTGCTTATGACCCAGAAGAAGAAGCGGAGCATTGGTGGGTACACTGGGGCCTGCTGCGAGAACGTGCGGGCAGTGGCACGCCAGTCATATTCGACCCCATTACAGTCCTTCAAGAGCAGGAGAACGAGTTCGAACAGGCTTTCACTGATGCAGTATAGCCGTTTTGTCTATGTCTATAAGACCTAATACCAGTCGCCATCTACTTACAACGCGTTGCTATAGTTTGCTGATCGCTCTTGCGCAGTGAATAGCGCCTTTGTCGTACTCATATGCAGTCCCGCGATTGTAAGCGTCGTTTTCAAGCCTCTCGCGGCTCTTCTGAGCACCAACCTGACGATAATCCTTATCGATGTCACTGAAGCACCACCAGTCATCCGCCAAGGGCCAAGGCTGCAAGGTGATTCAGATGGGTTTACTTTTCACGTTTCTTCGGCCGGCGCGGGTAAGCAAACAGCATGGTGCAGACTCCACACTGGGCCCGCGATCGTTTCGACAATCCATGAAATTATAAGTTACATATTAAAGGCACTGGAAAAATAACTTTTTGCCTAACCATATCCAAAGATCCATTAGATCCAAGACATATTTATTGAACTCGAATGGGCCACTTTTGGCCACTTTTGGCCACTATGGTCACTCTCAACTGTTCATCGCGCAATTAAACGAAGAGAGGATCTTGGCCTTGTCCTCAGACGTGAGGCAATCCCCCTGCTACTCCCTGCATCAAACCCAGACTCAGGTATCCGGAATGTTGTAAATGCCGTTCAGATTATATAACCAATTTATCGATTAGTACTGCATAATCGTCTACGGCCTCTTTCTTGCCAAAGTACACTCGACCCTCACATAGCTACTATCGAAGTCTGAACAACATGTCGGAGACGTTGGCTGCCGAATACCGCCAGCTTGGGAAGTCGGGCTTGCGTGTCTCAGTTCCCATCGTAAGTACGCATCAACATGGGCACGACACGCCGCCACATAGGGGGTGATATGTTTTACAGCTCGGAGGAATGAGTTTTGGCACTCCTGCCTGGGGCGGCGTAAGTGGTAGCGCTAGTGTTGAGGAGCGATTCACTAATTCATCAGCCATCTTGCGCATGTAGCCATGGATCTTGAACGAAGAAGAGGTGAGCTATTTGCTACTATCTTCGACTCTAGTATTGATTTCTCGCACATAGAGTCTTCCTATCCTTAAGGCTGCCTGGGATCTAGGCGTGACCAGCATAGACACAGCTAACACATACTCGAACGGAGAAGCCGAGAGGATCGTCAGCGCATTTATCCGGAAGGTAGGTATATTGCACCCGATGATTCTTGCTCTGACCTCTATATTGTAGTATGATATCCCCAGGGAGAAGTTGGTGATCATGTCCAAAGTCATGTTCTTGGTATCCCCGGATCCTGCCGTCCTAACGGTACTCAACCCTGGGTTGAACCACACGCGTGACTTTGTCAACCAAGGTGGCCTTTCCCGAACTGCAATATTCAACCAGGTGGAAGGGTCCCTCCGCCGGCTCCAAACGTCGTACATCGACCTCCTGCAAATTCATGCCTTTGACCCTACTACGCCGATAGAGGAAACCATGAAGGCCCTACATGATCTGATCATCGCCGGGAAAGTGCGATACATCGGTGCATCCAATCTTCGTGCGTGGCAGCTTGCCGAGATGAACCATGTTGCGGAGAAGAACGGCTGGACGCCCTTTGTGAGCATCCAGGTTGAGCACTCGCTGATATACCGCCCTGAGGTAGTCTACTCATAGTCCATCTTCGCCGGTGTTTGGCACTGAAGCTTGTCCATTCTTCAGGAGCAAGAGATGTTCGCGTACTGCAAGCACAAGGGGATTGGCATCATCACTTATTCTCCCCTCACAGATGGACACCTCGCACGGCCGCTGGGAACTGAAACCACTCGAACAAAGTGTCTAGCTGGCACTCCATTCGAGAAGCCCCGCAAGGAGTCGGACAACGTGATTATCAAGCGCGTCGAGGAATTGGCCACGAAGCTGCAGTGGAAGATGAGCCAAGTTGCGCTCGCTTGGAGTTCCTCCAAAGTAACGAGCCCAATCGTCGGTATAAACTCTGTATGTCGCAAGTAGTTTTTTTTGCGGTCCGTGTGCTCATAGGAATGGCATACAGGTCGATAGGCTCAAAGAGTCCATCATCGCGGGAAAGACTTTGAGTGCGGATGATATCAAGTATCTCGAGGAACCGTATGTCATTTGATCTGCGAGGCGCGACTCAGCTGATGGTGTCCTTAGGTACGAGTACCACCCACACAGGTTCGGCTGAGAGCCGACAAAAAAACAAGAGGAGAAGGCAAGGGATGGGTCATATAGTTTGCGGTGTACGTACATAGCGGCATAAAATGCTTGTATGTAGTATTTTGTAAGGATGAAATTGTAGATTGCATTACGGCATGAATTTAGCCTGAATTTGCAGCTGACATGTTGAGCGCTCGTGTCAGTCTTGGACGTTTACGGTACTGGGCGCTTTTTGTCTACTCATGTCTTCAAAGTCGAAGCCAAATCCGCTGCCTCTGGGTGATACTCTTCGCGATCTCGCACTCTTGCGGGCTTCGGAATGTGACTTGTCCTCTCTCCTGCCTCCAAAGCCTCTCGCCTATATCCCGAGGGCAGATGCGTCCTCATCAGAATCTGAACAGACGCAAGACAGCGTGAACGAGTCAGTGGAGAAGTCGTATGAATTCGCGCGGGAGGCGCGGGCGGTGATGAAGCTGCTCCATCGGGAAGAAGTGGTGAAACAGGGCTCTCGTCTGGAGGATGTGAGGAGTGGATTGGAGGATCTTTTACGTGGTTTGGAGGACAGCAAGCGGCCGTCCTAGTGCTTTGATGAGGAGTAAATCCTCCCTGCGCGTTGTATGGAGCGAGATGCTCATATCGTTTGCACACAGGGGCCTCGAGACACTTGTCTTCCTCAAGGTTTATTCGGGTATGGTATCACTCGATGTACCATACCTATTTGTTTAATCTACTTGTTCAGTATTTTGTGCCAGCCTCCTCGCTTCATGGAACTGGCTCGCTGGGTGTGAGTGAATCACCCCCAAATTTCTCGGAAGATATCATGGATATATGAACTGGAGACTTTGTTGCGCCTATGTTTCCCTTGTCCTTGGGCGGTGCTTAGCGGTCGCAAGACGCGCTCTCGTGACCTGACGTCAGACGCGTCGAGTGTGTATCCAGGTGCCCCCACTCCTATTCAGTATCCACTCCTTACGAAAATGAGCCAGATATAAAGGGATAGCTCGTCCGTCGTCTGCCCAGCACGACTTCGACCCCAACTCTCAATCATTTCTCATACTCGCGTTCATCTTCATTTATCACCGCAACTGCACAATATGTCCGCCTCTGAGCGTAAGGAACGCAATCATTTAGCATCACACGCGAAGCTGACATGTGGACCCGCATTTCCAGATAAAGATCCTGGACGCGTCGCCGCCGGCCTGAAGGCCGCCATTCATAACCCCAATGTGTCGGAGGAGGCCAAGGAGCGCGCGACTGACAGACTTCACCATATGGGCGGCACCGAGGAGGTCAACACCTCGCCCTCTACTGCGACTCATTCTACTACGACGGGCTCAGGTCAAGAGACAAGCCGCGTCCTCGGTGGCTACAAAGCAACCCTTAACAGTATGCTTCTCCTAGAATCGTTGCATATATGTGGTGTTCATTTTATGGTGGCGCAGATGAGCATGCGTCTGCCAAAGCAAAAGAACATGCCCGCGAAGTTCTCGAGGCTGCAGGCTACACCGTCGAGAGAGATCCGAATGTGTCGGAAGACGAGCACCATACTCACGTCCTTGCTGGCTATAAGGCTGCTCTGCACAGTGAGTGCTGTATTCGCTCTTGAGAGGAAAACGTGATGTTCATTATGCTCATCAGACCCTCGTGTATCCAACGAGGCCAAGCAGCATGCTCGGGAATACCTCAAGGAGCAAGGAGCTTTGTAATATATATATAGATAGGCGTTCCTCAACTTACCAACGGCGTGAAATTGTATTCATAGCGATTAATGGTGCTGAATTCATGTTTTACTAAAAAATATAGAACATGAGTGCTGAGTCGAAGAGGAGTGCGGAGGGGTTAAGCTACCTCGCATTGGGGGCACGGGAATCACGTCCAAGAGTTGCGAAGGGAGGCTGGATGGTGATTAAAAGTAGTCAAGCGTGGGTCAGGCAATGCCGACGTGAAGTCTCCGGGCCCGTCTGAGGCTCCCGTTTCAACTTTACGTACACGTTGCCGTGCTACTAGCTTCAGCCCGCGTTGCTCATAACACTGGACAAGGGGAATCGTTGAAGGTGCCAGGTGTAAATGCTTAGTGCTCGATACCACCTGTAATACCCTATCGTACACGCTTTAGTTACTCTCTACACAAGACCCTCACGGACAACACCGGGAGTAAAGGAAAGAAACAGGAAGTACAAGAACCTATCCACTTGACCGTCGTCGTCCAGGTCGGAGAAGCCTGCAGGGCTGTCGCATCTTTGGAGGGAGAACACAAGCTTAGGGCCTGTCCAAAGGAACGTCCAACTCTAGTCCCTCCGACCACGATGAAAACGACTCCGCCATGGCCAACAAACTCTGCGCTTTTCTCTTAACAGCTTCCTGCGCATCTTTCCCCAGCGGGAGATGCAGCGGTGGATCTGGGAGCTCCGTAAGCTTGTATATCTTCGCAGTCGCCTTCGCAGCGTCACCCGGCATCCACGGGTTCACCTGCAGGTAGCTGCGCGCGGTAGCCTGCTTCAAGACCGGGTCGACGTATGCGGGGTGGGGGGGCAGGCGCACCATGTTGCGACCCGCATTGGTGTGGAACCCCCCGAGCTCAATCAGGGTGACCTGCAGCAACAGCATCCGCAATCAGCCCGCCAAGACGAGACGAGGCCCTCGCGAGCTCACCTTGACGTCCCACTCCGGGCGCATCTCAGCCGCGAGCGCCTCGGTGAAGCCCTCGATCGCTGCAACAGCCGCACCAGGTCACAGAGCCCGCGCACCGCCAGAGACGAGGCGGACTCACCACACTTGCTCGCGCAGTAGTACGAGAGCGCGGAGAGGCCCTGGACGCCGCCCATCGAGGACACCTGCAGGAGGCGCCCGCCCGCGGGCTGGTTCACCTCGCGGAAGACGCGCACGGCCTCCCGGCTGACACGCGCGGCGCCCCAGAAGTTGGCGTCGAACATCGGGCGGACGACGTCGTCCGTGCTGCCCTCTGCTTCGCTCAATACGCCGCATCCGGCGTTGTTGAAGACGACGTTGATGCGCCCGAATGCAGCTAGCGCCTCTGCGAAGGCCGTGGGTATCGCTTCGGGCTGGCGCACGTCTAGCGGGAGGACGAGCAGCTGGGAGGAGGGATAACGCGCGGCAAGGTCGGAGAGCGCAGAAGGGCTACGCAGCGTGGCGACGGCGATGCCGCCATTCTGTAGGACCAACTCGGTCATGTGTCGTCCGAAGCCGGAGGACGACCCGGTGACTAGTGTAAGTTCTCAGTGAATGATCGCAGCAAGGGCATGAGACGTACTGAACCACACTGGGGGCGCGGGTGAATTCATTGGTGTGATACTGAGACGGAGTGCTGTAAGATTTTCCTGCGATGGTGCTTTATACGGTGCGAAAGGTTCTTCTAATCCTACTGTGTATGGCATTGTTGCCCGTTCTCCAGAGCTTCATCAAGCTTATTCATCGTTATCCGAATCTGATGCAAAGCCTTCTCCAATACAAAGAGGGTCTAGCAGTTATATTGCCACGCGGCCTACAATGTACGAGCATCAGCAGCTCGAGTTGTCAATGCATGAACATGCTACTTAACCTCTTGAGGAACAGATGGTCTATCCCGAAGCTGTTGATTGTGTGTCATAAGACCGAGCATATCGAGGCTATTCTTTGCTGAGGTCCCACGCCTTTCGAATGCAGTCTGCTGCGACTGACATCCCGCCAGAACTTAGAGCTGTAGAGGACCGATAAGGTGTGGGCCGTACAAGTAGTGGCGTAGCCTAAGTGGTAGATTGGTCTCGAGCTGCAGGGAAATCACATGAGATTTCTCCAGGTCCACTCGAGGCCGGACTCCGAGTCCGCGGCAGCAATTTGGGTGCCATGGAATTCCTATACTTCTGGACGCCAGCTGGGCGTCGAAGATGAGCTTAGGATAATCCCGTAGCCGAACGGTCGAGCCCGTGAGTGTCCAACACACATCAGGCCCGGAGGAAAGGACCAACCTGAATGTCCTTTCTCCGGACGCCAGAGGCGCTCGTACGACGGACATCGAGAAGCGCTCACTGTCAAGTAGCGGAGTTTATGTGTATTGTTCCATTCCGGAGCAGTCCTATCTGAGGCCAAGGAGTGGAACATCTCCCGAGTTCCAGCTTGAGTAGTATATTCTTGACACTTGGTCAAGTATAGTGTCCGTGCTGGTCTAATAGTCCAACCCAGAAATCGGTGGTCATAACATGCAAGGAATTTTGGCCTTCCTCCCCTCGAGTGGTACAGAGAGTCAAACGTTCAGGCACGGTTAGTTTTCTACATCAGCATTACATACTGCATACATTGGGTGACACCAGCGCTATTCGATGAATATGAATGTCAGTACGATCCTAAATGCAGCATGCAGACTCACAGAGGATCAACGATCTCAATACTTTTAGCGACATCAATGCTGCGTGGCCGGTTTGTCGGAGCTGATAAGGCCATCAAAAGGCTTGTTGAGTAGAGCGTATCTTCTCATTTGCTGAAGCTGAACTTGATTAACGTAACCCGGCGCGAATAAATCCTGGACTAGTGAGCTTGACGTAGAGCATGAGCCTGACTCATTCGGTTAATACTGGGTTATTGCATTCGATGGGGAGTCGGCACTCGATGTGGGTGTCTACACTTGATGGGAGGTTGTCGCTCGATGGGTGTCCGTGCTTGACTCGTGAACAAACACCTCCAGGCGCAGCAGATCTTCATATATTTCGCAGTGTAGCCCGCCCCTAACCCGCTAGCGCCAGTCGGTAGGCCTTGGAAGGCGACGGAGTACAATGTTTCTACCATGGGTAGCTGAGGCAAATCTCACATAGATCGAGAAGAGAGGCCATGCAATGGCAGCATGCTCGCCCGTGGTCAGAGAGAAAACAGTAACTTGTGGGACACACGCGGGAGGTGAGGTAGATGTTTGAGTTGAGAGACCTATGGAGCGATGCCGTCCGCGCCCACTGAAATCCAATCATCAGAGTAAAGGCAGGAAATTGGATAGACCGAACGCGAACCGTATTCACTACGACACTTCGAAGTGCATATATTGACCCGTAAACTCGTAGCGTCTGGCAACCTCGAGATCAATGCCGAATTCCGGGCAGTGGGTAGATGGAACCACGCCAATGTAAGTGAATTTGTTCACCCCGATGCTTTCCAGCTTTTCAAGACTGTTGCTTTTGACGTCATGAGATTCTTGTGCAACGGTAACTTAGAATAAAATCGCAGTGCCCTTCCTATAATAGAAGAGGTCATACATCGCTTCTGTTGGAGAGTCAGGCACATAAAGGTAGCCATCGACGAGATCGCCTGCTGCCAACGTGCGATATGATTTCAGTGGGATGCTCATGAAGCGTTCACTCCGAATCGAGGATTGAAGTGAAGTTGTATTGACGTCCATGTAACCTGCGGCGACGAGTGATTGAGTCGACGTGGCGGGACCAGCCTTCCAGTGTTGATATCTCCTCGCATCTTCAGCCACTAATTCCCACAAGGGCCATGATCCGCCCAAAGATAAACGGTGAACTAGTATGCCCTCGAATAGGGAACCAGCAGCAGCCGCTAAGCGCTTGAATGCTACGGAAGCGTGATAGTATTTCACGCGCTCCACATAACTGGTTCTCCTGAACCGTTCGATAACCATAGACGTAAGGTGAAGTGTGGGTATGCGGTAAGTGGCCTTCTCTAAGATGTAGGTTGAGTCTGGGTAAAAGACGAATACTTCGTGGAAAGCTGTGTCGTTTTCAGGTGCTTAGAAACCCTTTTCCAGGCTAGATGCAGTAAGCCGAGACATCGTTGATTGGAGACATGCCTCATAGATCCCCTGTTTCTTCGCGTGACTGAACGCTGTTCGGGCGATTGGTACGTATCTAGTAAACCAACTGCGGAGCTCTTCCTCCCCAGGACGCCTATTTGGGATCCTGAAATTGACGTCTGAAAAGGTGTCACAATATACCATGTAAAATGCATACGCGATGATAGCCTCTTCGAGCGTGAACGACCCCATGCAAACGGAGATATTGTATAAGCCAGGAGGAGTCTTATCCAGCCACTTCAGCCACTTCTGTCGCGCTGAAGCAGCCTGAACAATCGTTAAACAAGAAGCGATAGCAAAATCAGTCGGGACAGGCATGTGGAGAGTCGAATCAATTAGGTACCAGGCATTAGGAATAAGACTCATAAGATAGCCAGCTGCTTCAGGGTCGTCAAGTGCAGTCAGGCTAAAGACACCGTGAGCCACAAAGAGATATGCACGCGTCGGATACAATTGAAGGATTGCTGGAAGCTGCACATTCGCGCGGAGGCCCAAAATAACATGCAACAAGATGCGTGAGGCGACGGACCATCGTGATATCAAAAACGCACCATTGCCCGGACTACATGTAATCACCATTGTACACCGAACCCCTGCTTTCATGTCTGTGGATGGATTTTCCAGGGTGCTGGATAAAATAAGTGGAAAACTATCCGCTGCTGTCACCCCTTGGTCATCCACTATCGGCGCTGGCGTGTTTTCAGCCGTCTTTGTTGATTTTTCCTCCTTCCTTTGCTTGCGCGATGGTTCTACGGTCTGTGCAACGTCCTGATCGCCACTGTGTGTTCTCTTCTGTGATTCCTTTGCCTTGTCATTAACGCCAGCTGCAGGAAGTGAGGTGGCAGCGACCATGAGTTTCAAGACTTCCATGTAATCTCGCCTACATAGACGGCAGTTGTGGCAAAGTCCCTAAACTCCCTTGGAAAACCTTTCATGATAAGGCACTGGTCAGGTATGTTGTCGTTGCAGGATCGCTGTTCTAGTGAATCACGCGTAAGAGGGAGACTGAGGACATTGATCCATTTTTCCAAGCGCCGTTCCACAGTTCAACTACCCATGATAGCTTGGCTGGTTGCGCATACTTGTCGGTCCATTTTTCGAGGGTGTTTGCAGAAAATGGTAGTCCGGACATGATGATGGTGCGGAGCGAAGATGAGAATTCGAGCAACTGTAAGTCATGACGTATTTACTTTTAGGGGCCGTAAATTATGTAACTAATGAAGGAGATTTATTTAGTTTTAGAGCGTATTAGTCCAAAGCATTCTTCGGTGCTCCCACCACTGGCATCTGCTTCACAAACGAATGTCTTTTGATGCACTCTGATTGTCGCTGAGGTGACTCGCCTGCCTCTATTGCAACATTATATGCAATATCATGCACGGACATACCTAGCAGCGTCACCTCACACCACTCAGCTGTGGTAGTTATCCTTCGCGGTGGACTGGCCACGACGAATGACTCTTTTCCGTGGGAGCCATGCACTTGCTGTCCCTGGTGTGATGGAGGATGGATCGATGAACCCTGGGTGCTTCTTGAATGCACCCTTAGGCACTCGACGGTCGGCGGGAGGACTACCTATAGAATGCCTTTGAGCCGTGCAACTTGGGTGCAACCGCTGGCTCGTCCAGGGCACATGGCTCTGGTGCTCTCTACGATTGAGGTTCATGCTAGCGAAGTTCATCGCTCCTATGGCCGTTTTTTTAATTAGACGTGCTCACACTATTCAGTACACCCCCATATAAATTGCTACATAGGCACCGTCTCGAGACTGCATCAATGCTCTAGGCTTCCTACGGTTATGATTTCCTCTTGTACGTGTGGTACACATTTGTCTCGGAGCGGTGACATGGAAACATAACAATGAAGGCCAGAGTACAGTGAGCCGCTAGGCCTAGCCAACATTCCGTCCTCTCCTCCGGAACATAACATTAGCCTTTAAGTCAGGGATTAACGAATGGCTGACGAAAGATGAAGGAGGGACAGCTGCTTCCTTCTCCATCTTCATGTCGTAATTCACTACGAGATGCGAAAGCACTTCCTTCAGCTCTGTTGACGCGAAGAACCGGCCAGGACTGCATGAAGAAATAATACACGCCCAACGACAGGCACGTACATAGTCAGTGGATACAGTAATGATCTCGCATGGAAGCGTCTCACCATGCATGTCGCCCGTGCACGAACGCCAAGTATTCCGCGCTTGTGTGGACAAACTTAGCCGTCTCGCCGGCGTTCTGCATGTTGGAGAACCGCCACGGATTGAACACATCCGGATCTGCATAAATATTCTCGTCATAGTGTACCGCTCTGGCAGCAGTCATGAGGCGTGTCCCCGCCGGGATGAAGGTCCCGTTCGAAAGCGTGTGGTCTTTTAGCGCCGTCCGAATCATCGAGCTTAACAGAGATAAGTCAAATTCTCGTAGAAGCCTATAATTGATTTCACATACGAGCACTGAGACTTTCGAATCGCATGAGTTCCTTCAGGAAACTGTCCATCTTGTCCAAGCGATCTACGGCATCTTTGGTCCATCCATGCGCCTGCGCTACCGTTCTGACTTCTTCCCACAACACCTCAGAATACTCAGGGTGCACAGCAAGATAGTACAGCGCAAGCGTGAGGGTCTGAACATAGAACACACGGAACAGTAGAATTCCAGTCAGTTGACCATTGTCCTTTCACGTAGGAAAGGCATGGACATACCATGGAAGAGGTATGAATGGCTGGGGCATTCAGCAGGAGGACACGAAGGGGCACCGTAGTAGGTGGCACGTCTGAAGGTTTTGCATCGATGAGCCATTGCAGGAGATCGTTCTATTAGGATTTGTCAGGACTAGCTAGAGCAAAGCACCTCACACGGGAGCAATAAAGCGCACAGGTCGATTGGTCCAATCGTCGCCCGATTCATTCGCGAGTCGTAGCCTCTCGTTCAGTATCGGATTGAGGAGTTCACGACCGCGGGCAACACTCTTGGAAACGCTCAAAAGTAGACGTGCGGCAAGCCTGAAATATAAATGAACATGAGCGAGACGATGGAATATGCAAAGGTGGATACGCACGGTTTGAGAAATTCTGGAAACATCCTGATACTCGTGGCGCCCACCATCAGGTCATTACTGAATGTCTTGTTCAATTCGCAAAAGTCTCTATTTCTGCCTATCAAGTCAAAGTTGTGGAGGAGACGGTGGAGAAACGTCGAATTTAGCATGATCGCCCGAAGTAGATATAAGGGAAGAAATATACATAGTGGCACTCCAACGAACAGACGATTCGTCACCCGACAGACCACTTCTGTCAACATCTTGTTTGCTGGAATCGGTGTCCATTGACCTATAAGTACCAGTACACAATATGGGCGTTCACAAGTGAGCCCTGCGAATGTACTCCATAGAAGAACGGCATAGAATCATACCCTCTCTTGTGAGACCAAGTTCGTCATTAAAAGCCGTGACAACTTCATCGTGGATGTCCGGGAAGAGTTCTGTGAGATAGCGAGCAATTCGAGTGATGAGAAGCGGGGTATGATATGCGCTGGACATCAACTCCCGCCCTATGGTATATTCTTCTTGGATAAACTGGAGATTTACGAAGGATTAGTTAATCGTGCAAAAACAATGACCTTGAAACACACTTCTTGGAGAGCGACAGGAAATGATAAAATGCTGTCTGGCACCTTGCGCAATTCTTCCACCAGCTCCGACCCGGTCACAACGACAGTCCAGCAATGAAGCTCAGCAATCTTGAAAACACCCCCTTTGTACTTGAAAGGGAAGCACCATTTGAACACAAGCCAACGCAGAAAATAAGAGCTTCCACATACCCTGGAATAGCCCTCTTGCAACACATCTTTGGAATCGAGGAATGTTCTGAACGCGCCGATAAATGATAACAGAGGTAAGGAAGATCCTCCGACAGTTGGAATGTGGCTCAGCTATGTATGCATAATACTATCAGTCCACTCACCCTCGGTGGAAGATTGTGGTAAATACGTACCCGTCGTCCTTCCGACTTGAGAAAATACGTTATAATACAAAGAAGAGCCAAGGAAACATATAAAACAGTGATTTCTTCCATACTGAGATGACTCTCAGTACGAACTAGAGAATAGTAGTAAAAGATGGAGTCAATGCTGCAGTACTTTGGTCTCGTTCCCTTCAAAGACACGTATCTTCGACACGGGTTGGGGATGAGACCGCACCGGTGTTTATATCCGTCGCACAGCACAGATACCCGTCTCGGGGTCAGACGGACACCCAAAACAATGCATTATGACGTTGTTGATAGATGAGACGTTATCAGAACATCCCAGAACGTGCTCCCCTCAACCATCGCCTACACCGCATGAGGAACTCGGACTGACCTCTATGCCCTACAAGTTGCAAGACCGAACCCAAAACGGCAATTCACTTCCTGCCCAAATGCCCCGCGCGCCACCGCGAACGCGTTCCCCTACTCCAGAAGCTGAACCGCAGACACCTTATGGTGCCAGAGCTTCCAAATAACTCCACCGCATTCACACTGTTGTTCGAATACATCCATCACATAGGACGATTTAGGAGTCTCGGACCCAAACCAGCACGCCAAACACCTGAACACGCTCGCACCATGCAACTCCCTCTCACTTGAGCTCGTTCCATTCTCCTCTTTCTCCTTACTCACATGCACCTCCTGATTCCTTACTTGCGTGGTCTCGTCCCCAGACGTGTTGTCAAAGACACATCTGGGGACAAGATCACACTTACATAACTTTCCGATACGGATACTATATTTGCGTCCTGGCAGCCAGTTGTCGCCCTTGACGCAGCTGGCAAATGCTACGTTATAGCATCCATGGCATTTACTGAAGGGCAATAACAAAACGAACATATATATTACCGAATGAATGCGTACCTGGTCGTCCTCGGTTACATATTGAAAATATTCGTATGTATGTATGACCTAAATGATCTCAGGCCGTCTTGTTCCCGTATCATATATGTGCGCGCATTCAGTCTGTGGCAAGGACGAGCATATATCTACGATTATTGGTGTGAAGTTGCTCACACAGCTTGGAACATGTTGAGATACACTGGTTGATTGAATATCAAGGACGCATAACTAGGGTAAGTGAGCAAAACTCACTTGATCCCTCGAGTCAATGCAAAGACATCCGTAGTCTGCAAATCCTTTCTTGACGCTTAGGATGTACTGGGATACGCAGAGGATCTGAATGAGCAGCTATTCAACCAATTCGGCATTGGTGGCTGAGAGCTCTCATCTCCAACGTGGCTTAAGTGTGCGGTGGCAACCACTTAGCATTGCAACGATAGTGACAGAATATAATAATGACGAACTTTTTCGTTCTTGTGCCACATCCGTTTGCATGCTTTTGTCTGGACGAACAACCTTTATCAGTACGCCCAACTCAGCCAGCTCACCGACCTCCAACCTGCCTTCGCGCCCTGCCCACCAGTAGCCCATCAGCTTGGGATGCCTAATCCCAAATGTCCTGGTCAGTATCCTGCAGGTATACATACCCCGAGACCGCAAGATGGCGCGCTGGCTGCAAGTACCTGGGGGCTACGGTTG